ATTACTATTATTATTGTTGTTGTTGTTATTGTTATTGTTATTGTTGTTGTATTATTGTTATTTGATTAAGCTTCCAGTTTTTCACGTACTTTACTCTCCACATAAGCATCACATTCTTAAAATTTCAGGTTTTTATTTGTTACCTTTTCATATCTTATATAGAGTCTTATCAACAAATTTTGTTGGAACTCTATTTAAAAGATAAGTAGTTTTTTATAGGTTATAGCTAAAAAAAAAAAAGCATTATAGACTACATTGTATCCAATAGGATATGCTTTTTCATTTTATAAACTCTATTATGTTGTTGTATCCAATAGGATATGATTTTTCATTTTATAAACTCTATTATGTTGTGGTGTTCCAAGAGTTATCTATTATGAAAAATTATCATTATCTTTTAGAAAATCTAGAAATTCTCACCTTAATGATTCTTCACCTTTATCTTATCAAAGTATATTGATACTTTTTCTGAATTCTTTCAACCTTTTCAAGTAATTCAAACTTGTGTTTCTTTAAGTACATATAATCATATTTTGAATAATATTAAGTGAAGGTAATAAAATATGTATATCCACCAAAAGCATAAATAGTCATTGGTTCACATATATTTATATGCATTAAACTTAACAATTAATTAGTTCTTTCACTTTTTTCTATAAAAGATGATTTGGTAATTTTATCCAAAAAAAACAATTTCATAAGTTTCATATGATTAATAATTAAAAGGATCAAATATATAACTTAGTGATCATTGCTTATTTATTTAAACTAATCTATAATGCTACAAATATGATGGATATTTATTAGCTAATGTATTCTTTTAGCTATTTATATTGAACATGGACAATTCTAAATTAAGTATATACAAACTATTTGTATAAAGATCAAAACCATAATAAATATTATTAATATAAAAAGATCAATATTACCTTCAACAATAAATTTAAATCCATCAAAATCTAAATAAAACTCATATGATGTATCTAGAAAAGATCATTGATTTTAAATTGAAGATCAGCTGGCCACACGTTTTGTCTAAATAATGGTGAGAATGCTAAGATGATTCAAATGCTACCATGAGAACTTGCTTTTGGCTGCTGGTGACACCACATGCATGATCTAAATGGCGTGAAAATAATGCACATGTTAACATTAGTTTTTAAAATAATATTTTTTATTTGTTCAATTACCTAATCATCCCTGATTTAACTTGATTATAACTAAAAAAATCTTATTAAAAACATGAAAAAAGCCCCTAAAATCCAATGAGTAATTTTTTCTTTCAAAGGTAATTTTTTTTATTTTACTATATTTTAAAAAATAAAAATACTAAAAAGCTCTTTAATATCATTTCAGTTATTTTTCAGGGGTAATTAAATAATTTTATTATAATAAAAATATAAGAAAATCGATTTGTTCCAATCAATACGATAATAATCATTAGATTATAGTTAAAAGATAAAAGATCATCTTACTCCTATTGACCTGTCATTGTTTTTATTTTGAAAACATAAAAATATAACTACAATGCAGCAACGCACAGTAGTCCGAATCTATGCAAACAATGAAACAGTAGTGCCTCTAAGATTTTTTAAATAATATTTTTCTACAGCAGAGTGAATCCCACTGGTACATATTTTGCAAGGGCTTGAATTGAGTAGAGAAACTTAATGTCAATAAAGTCTATGTTACCAGTACAAAAACCATGTAACTTTTGTGCCAGCTGAGAAGTTAGGAGACCACAAGTCTTCTTCTCTTTTTCTGGCTTCCAGATTTTTGAGGATTGTAATTAAAAAATTTTACTAGATACCAATTGTTAAACAACTGCATTTGAGGAAATCACATTCAAAATTTTTCTTGATACTGTAATCTAGCATCGATCTTGTATTCGTCATGTTCTTGTTTCTTTCCTAACTTGATACTTGTGTGCTATCAATGAAACAAAACTTCTTCATCCAACCAGTTGCTCTCAACAAATATCACAAAAACAGGAAAACGGAGTGAAGAAAAAATGAAGATAGAAGATGGATGAAGGTCCTCCTATTAACGCCTAATTATTTGTGCCGAAATAACGGTCCCCAAACTCTCCCATCCCTGGGATAACACGTAAATCCTCATCCAATGTTACATCAATCTCCGATGTCACAATTTTGAGCTTTGGAAATTTCTTGCAAACCACGTGTATTCCTTGGGGTGCCTGCAGGACATTGAATTATGGTAGAAAAGGTAGATTATGCAAGGGAAATGCAGTTGAATTTTCTGACAAGAACAAGCATCAGAATGACTTACTGCTATTAGATTAAGGAAGATGATGTTAGACTCTACGACGCCCTTGCTGAGAAGCAGGTTAATCGCTTTGACTGCAGAATTTCCTGATCACGCATAGATGTGAGACAACACTCTTCTCAAGGGTAACTGAAGTAGGGTTTGAATAACAAACCTGAAGCAAGAACTGGATCGAGCAATAAAACATGCCGACTTGAGATGTCTGCGGGTAGCTTCTCATAGATTAACTGCAGCAACATTGCGGTGATTTGAAAAGCTATATGCAACAGAGATAAAGAGAGAGAACGGGGCATGTGGTACAGGCCTCCACGAACCTGCCGTCCATTGTTACCCTCTCCATGGATGAGAATTTTACCGATTTTGATGCCCTTGCAGCATGCTCTTAATGCATTTTCCATGCTCTCCCCACTGCTAGGAAATGAAGTAGTTAGGATTCAGTAATGCTGAGAGCTTCCCAGGGATAACAGATTAGGCTACTTCAGAACACCAAACAATTATGTGATATATTCTTCACAACATGCAGGGGGAAGGAAACACGTACCTTCTAATGACTGACACCCCACACAATCTTTTGCAGAAAACAACTCCAGGGTATACAGATCCTGCAAACCAGAAAATAAAAACATAAATACATCCCATCTCAAAGTTATCCTCGTTCTGAGGAATCTGAAAAGTTTAGCTTGAATTGCAGGAGACAAGGATACGCCCCATGCATTGTTGTCAACTTCCATAAACATTGCATCTAAAAATCATGGATGGCTGCAACCGAAGTTACCCGTTGGGGTTGTGATCTGCTTTTCAGTGAATGGAAGATGACCAAGACCATGCTCCACAGCCTGACACATTGATCCAAAAACAAATGATGTTGTGTTAATAAAAAAAAAAAAACTCGGTTTATATCTCCGAAATTTCTCTTTATTGAGAGATATCTACCAAGCGTATTAGTCGGTCTGCATAGAAGACAAAGTCATGCTTCGTTGTCTTGACATCACGTACAAGTGTGTGCATTCCCCGCATCTGGATGAAATGCAGAACTAAAGATAATTATCTGTTTCCTCTCATACTCAAGAATGGAGATTTCCAATCAAGAAATTTGATACAAACAGAACTTCATAACAAAAGGAAGGGTTACTGAAGAAATTGCAACAGTAAATCAAGTTAAGCAGTATTACCTGAAATGTTGAGTGTATAACAGAAACATTTGGATATAATTTACACAAATGATGTTGGCCAAGCTTTGCACGGATATGTTGTATTATCAAGTCAATTGCAACATTATTATCTCCTCCCCGAGGGATTATAACGTCAGCATATTTTTTTGATGGCAGTATAAATTCTTCAAAACTTGGCTTTACAGATCGAGCGTACTGCAAATTATTGATAACTGGTTGGAAAGAGGAATATCTAAAAACCGTATTACTTAAATTGGTGGAATAGTAATTCCACCACTGGAAATACTATCAATGTTAAGCTGAAACTGAATAAGAAACAGGATACACTCTCCATATATCCATTTTCAGTATGACCAAGGAACTTCATTTAACGATGATTATGAAAAGTTTGATTGAACCTAGCAACAGAAATCTCAGGCGATCAAGAAACTTCACTGACTTGGTCAAGAACGTTCTGGATATTCCTCCCTCTTTCAACAGTATCGCGCTGAATTCTCCGTGCAAGTCGCAGGTCAGAATCTGCACTGTGAAATTATGGTGATGGTTATTTGTAGGTGATCATTCTCGGCGAAAAATCAGATGAACATGCATCATATACATTTCGTTTTGTGGTATAAAATTCTGGATCCTCGCACATAATATGCATTTTATCAGTAATTTTTCTTGTGATTACATAGCCGACCCTATAAACTCAGAATCACTTAGCATGTTTACCCCCAAAGAGAATCCAAGAATTTTTACTGAATTTCTGTATATAAGAAATACAAAAGAATATGGTAGGAAGGAGCATTCATCCTTGTAATAAAAAGGGAAATCACTTTTACCTGGAGATTACATATCACAAGAACCGAAGTCAACACTTGGGCCAGAGAACACCCGATTGAATGCATGTTTTTAGTAAACCAAGACCACAGTTCTTAAGAATATAGAAGCTTTTCCAAGGGAAAACTTCTTTCACAGTATCTTTGAAAGTATGACGAGGCTGTACGTAGTGTGAACAGTGAAGATATTTGAAACTGACCATATAGTAAATGCTGTTATTGAGAAATGTTCAAAGATTCATGAATTTATCACCATTTTGATTCTTTTCCTTATCAATGTTCAAACAGTCATGAGTTATCATCCTTGACACACTTTATTGCTTTCTTGACAAGTATCATCGACAAAATATTTGAACAAGATAATGGTAAAGCACCTGCGTCAACAAAGATCTTCATGTTCATTAGATCACGAACCCGAGAATCATGGAGAACTAGAATTCCTTCTAAAATGATGATGTCCGAAGGGTTAACCTGTGATTAAAAAGAAGAAGAAAAACCAATTTTATAAATCAACATCTTCAATACCAAGAGAAAAAACCATTTACTTCTGTTTGGTTAAGAGTTTTCTATTTGCTACTTTTGAAGCAATCGCATCAAAATTCCAAATACCTTCCATCCTGGACCGATTCTTTTATGGGTCTGGAAATCATAATTTGTTATGTTAACTGCCCTTCCATTTTTCAGTTTCTCCATGCATGAAAGGAGAAGTTCTGTATTGAAGGCATCTGTAAAGCGAACACAATGCGAAACCTCTCAGAAATTCACGAGATCAATAAACTTTATTAACTATAAACCTTATGATCTGATACAGAGAATACTTACCAGGATGATCAAAGTTATAATCATAAACTTGTGCCAGTGTATCATCACTCAGGGAGTGATAAAATGAATCCTAGAAAAAGAAAACGAAATCAGACAAAATTACTCGTTTCGTTTGATCTCAAATTAATAGCATTTAAATAATTGGCCTGTTTTAGGAGAAAAACAAAATTACTTGATTGACAAGAACAACGCGTTGATCATGGAGCTGAGAAATAATCATATTACACACAGTTGTTTTCCCGGATGCAGTACCTCCAGCAACACCTGAACAGATGCATTTTCAGCATCAGGAAATTGAAAATCTATAAACCAAAAAACTACAGAGTTGTAGCAAGTAGTAGAATACATAATATTATATACGATGAAG